CAAAAATAAATAAATAATTTATTGAATTATTAAATAGAAAAAAGAAACTTGTGATCTCTGATGAGATTCCTCGACCAAGCTCTCGATCAGACTTCCGCAGTCCTTGTCCAAACTGTCATCTTTATGAGGGTGGAGGTTAGTAATACCAGATCTGCTGGTCTGTGGGATGTTTGCTGTAGTGGACTAGTGTGAGTGGATTCTAATCCTGCCCTGTGTGAGGTGGAGGATTGTAGCCCAGGGGTGAAAGCCAGAGAAACCTACCTGCCCTTGACTATGTAAGTTGAAACCTCACCACTAGGCACCCAAAGGGGTTGTAGTCTGAGCAAATTAGAGATAAAGCAGGTGCTCCTAGGAGGACTGAAGACCCGGCACATACACAGGGGACCACAGGGGCTTGGCAAACCTGCCATGCATGCTAGCTTAAACACAGTGCAAAATGATCACTTTAGCTGCCAGAAACTGTGGACAGCTGAGACCACATTTTGACCGTCCTCCTGTTCACCAAGTTCTGAAGTTCTGAAATGTTCTGGACTCCTCTATCTTCCCTCATGTTTAGCCTCTTAAGTCTTCCCAAATGATCCCAGTCCCCCTTCATAACCATCCCTTCCTTCCCATATTCACAGTCCCCATTCCCATCCTGCTGTCACCCACTACCCTCTGATGGTACAGCAGCCCCCTAATCTCCGCAGTTTTGAGTCTTTTCTGACTCTGGCCTCTCACACAAACTGCCAAGGCTCTTGAATTTCCTCAGGGTGAAGGACTCATTGACATTCAAAGCGTTCCACTATCTGGTTTCTACCTAGTCGCCAATCATTTCTCCCAGGAGCCTTCTACTCCCGTGAAATTGTTCAACCAACAGTTACTAAGACATACTTTGTTAAATCGTGCTTCCACACCTTTGTATGGTTCTGCCAATTTGTATACTTTCCTGCTGCCTGCCCACCAATCCAAATATTGCCAGTAATTTTTTTTTTTGACCACGCCACACGGCCCGCAGGATCTTAGTTCCCCAACCAGAGATCAGATATGTGCCCCCGTGCCCCTTGCAGTGGAAGCACACAGTCTTAACCATTGGATCGCCAGGGAAGTCCTGTCACTATTTTGAAAGCGGGTCAGATCTTCACCACTGAAGCTTGTTTGACAGCTTTTCCAACACTGTTGCTGCCTCCTTTAAACTGACCAATTTTAATAACTATGCCACATGCTTCACGTCAGGTTTGGAGGTACTTGATATCAGGCTGCATATGATTTTGTGGTTGTCTATATGCTGTTCCCAAATCAGAACACAAAATCCAAATGATCAAGTTTCCTTTGTGTCCTTATAAACATTAGGATTGCATCTGGTATTTAAATAAATGATTAATAAATATGCTTTGGATGTAATAAACCCATCCAAGAGAAAAAGATCAAGGAAGTGTTTTCTTCCTCCCAGATTCACAGAACTGAATTCAAAATTAATGTTTGCAGATTGGTTTTACATCCTGTGGTAGTGTCCAAGGGACATTTCTAAAGCCTTACAACAGCTATTTGAGAAGAAAAATTTCATTTCTCTGGATATAAAATTTTCTTGCTTACTTTTGAACATCATGTAACCTAAGAGGGGAAAGAAGGAAAAAAACCAAAGAGCCTATTGTTGATTTATCACTGCTTCAGCCACTTATGAAAGGTCTTGTGAAGACTCAGCAGGACTGACATCTGATCTAGACTTTTCTCATTCTGTGAAGTACCTAAAACTACAGGAATCAGTTTCAGAACATAACTTACAAACAATTGCAGCTTATATAATTGTGAATTAATCTGCATAAACTTATGCTAAAAATATACTCCACGAACTCTATAGATACCTTGCTGTGGGTATTTTGGTGCTTGGGAATCATGAAAAAATCATGAAAAAAAATCATGCTTACACAAAAAGCAAGAAGGCATTCTTGATAACTCTGAATTTAACAGAAGCAACTTCAACAATGTAGAAGATTTTTCCAACAAAAAGTGATAAAGAATTATTCATAAGTAAATGAGATTTCGAAGAGTGATGTCTGACACAAACACCATAATTAGCGCTGAATGCAGGAAGAATGATCATACATGTCAATTTTCCTTAATGGGTCCATAGTTATAAAATCAGTTAGAACTTTTCAGGTAAAGAAGTATCAAAGTGTGGATAAGTCACAGTGCATTCTTTACTTTCACAGTACTTTCAATTTACAGGCTCTTGGGAAACATTTTAATTACTCACATTTGGAAATAATGCTTGTAGTCCTTCCCAAGTTGTTCCTCAAAACCAGTTCCTTGTTTCTGGGGCTATTATCTGGCCCTGGCCTAAGAGCTCCTAAGGAATTAGCTCACAGACCCAAGAGGATTTATTCTGGAGTAGAGTGATCTCAATAAAGAGACTTAAAACCATTTCATGTGGAACATTGGAAGGAAAGAGCATCAGCTAACCTGAGAAGGGAAGGCTAAAGTGAAACATATTATCTATTTTCCAATATTCTAGGTATTATATTATCAAAGAGAGAGTAGATCTTTTCTATGTAACTCATGAGTGAGCTAGAACCAGTGAGGAAAATTTCAAGTATCCAGATTTCAGTTCAACTTGTAAAGAATTTTCTAACAAAGGGAAAAATATTTCAGTGGAAGATGTAAATCCTTTGAAGGAATTTAGACTGGGGCTGTTTAGTGAAGTTTGAGGAGGGTTTTTGCTTTGCTGCTCAAAATGTTATCCATGGAATGCTGCTGATCTGCATATTCTTCTTTTCCCTCTTGAGATTTAAATTTTAATGATAATTTTCACCATGATTTGACTTCTGAAATTATGGTTCCTATCAATTAAAAATGTACTACATTAACAGAGACGTTACTTTGCCGACAAAGGTCCATCTAGTCAAAGTTACGGTTTTTCCAGTAGTCATGTATGGATGTGAGAGTTGAACCATAAAGAAGGCTGAGTGCTGAAGAAATGATGCTTTCAAACTGTGGTGCTAGAGAAGACTCTTGAGAATCCCTTGCACAGCAAGGAGATCAAACCACTCAATCCTAAAGGAAATCAACTCTGAATATTCATTGGAAGAACTGATACTGAAGCTGCAACTCCAGTACTTTGGCCACCTGACTCATTGGAAAAGACCTTGATGCTGGGAAGGATTGAAGGCTGGAGGAGAAGGGGACAATAGAAGATGAGATGCCTGGATAGCATCACCGAGTCAATGGACATGAGTTTGAGCACGCTCTGGGAGATAGTGAAGGACAGGGAAGCCTGGTGTGCTGCTGTCCACGGGGTCGCAAAGAGTCAGACACACAGGAGCCACTGAAGAGCAACAACATTACCAGAAAATTCCATTAATAAAATGTAGACCACTTACGTACTTATGTATGAAATATTTTGTGTGTGTATCTGATACACTAACAGACACAGGATGATGATTTATTAGTAGATGTTTTTGTTGTGGGTGGGGGTAAGAAAACAATATGAAGTCTACTCTCTTAAGAAATTTTTGTGTGAAATACAGTAATGTTAACTATAGTCACAATGTTGTTAGGCAGATCTCTAAAACTTAATCTTCTTACATAACTGCAACTTTATACACATGGTATCGCAACTCCCTATTTCCCCTTCCCCCTGACCCTAGCAGCCAACATTCTACTTTCTGCTTTTACATGTTTCACTACTAATGCCTCTAGTAAGTAGTAACATGCAGTACTTGTTCTGTGTCTGGCTTATTTCACACAGCATAGTGTCTTGAAGTTTCATTCATGTCTTTGCATATGGCAGGATTTCCTTCTAAGTCAGAATAATATTCCATTGTATGTATATACTACATTTTCTTTATCCATTCATCTGTCCATAAGCATTTAGATTATTTCTACCTCTTGGCTATTGTGAGTCGTGCTGCAGTGAATGTGGGGGATGCAAAGAATCCTTTGAGATCCTGATTTCTACACATCCCCTGATGGTAGTTCAGAACAAGAGAAAGAGTTTGTGCCAAGTTGTAAATGAACACACCGCTTCCTTTTTCAATAAAGACTTGCTAGGGAAAGAAAATGTCAACAGAACTAAACAATATAGTTAATGACAGTCTTGCTGCAATAGAAAGTGTATTTTGAGTGTCTTGAGAGTACTTTGACTATTGCTAGGATGGAAGAAATTTATCCTTTAAATAATAAATACTAGGGAATTTTCACAGTAATAAAAATATCACAATGCTATATATACATATATATATGTAAATGTAACTTTCACTTTAACGTTAATATTTTTATTTCCCCAGTTGAAAATATGTTTGAAAGCTAAACATCACAATCATAAAATCACATACACACACACAAAAACATTAAATAAAATGATCATTGCAAGTCTCTGGTGTTTATTGAAAAAGTCTATTAGTTGAATGTGCATTAGGCAGTCTTTAGTTTGAATAAATAATATATATTGCATATATACATGTGCTACGATTTTAAAATACAGATTCTGTTATAATGATAAAATATAAGAATTCATTTTAAAGTGCAACTGGATTAAAAGTAGCTCTTCCTTATTATGTGTTTTCCCAAGCATATATACTGAAAGTACTATCTCTGTTATGTAGAAGTCCAAAATGCTTTTTATGTGTTATAAGAATATACACTACATAGATACCTTGCTAATCACGGTGGGGAGGGACTTTGCATCCAGGCGTGCAGTTTGCATACCACAAAAGGAGCAGGAAGAGGGAGAAAGTGGGAGAGGAACTCTAGTTCCCATGCACCTTGGCAGTGAAACTGCATCAGGCCTGGGGTCACCATCCATTCCAGTTTGTCCAGGACTGAAGGGTTTGCCAGCATTTGAGGCTTTCAGTGCTACAAGCAGCATAGTCCTGGACGAACCAGAGGGTAGGTCACCTTAATCAAGGCAGAGGTTTGCTGTATGTGCAAACTTCAGCCTTGGAATCTTGCCCATTGATCTGTAGGCCTGAAACCGTGAAGCCATTTTTTCACATCACTTCTTTCCTCCTTATGTTTTCAAGGTGAAAGAGCCAAGTAATCATGCCAACATCCTGACCAAGCCTGACCCAAGAACCTTCTGGACTAATGATGACTCAGGTATTTTTGAAAAAGTACATTCTGGCCCTATGCTCTACAGGAAGCATGCTCTAGTAATAACCCTACACAAAGGCAAGGTTTGAGGAAAAATTTTGGCTGTGCTTGCTTTTTTCATTATACCTAGTGCAACACTAGAATGTACTTCACAATCACTTTTTTATAAGTCCCTTTATTATCTCTTCTTTTTCAATATCTAAAGCATCTATACCATTAAATACAGCTTGATGAATTATGTATATCTAAGTGTTGAGGGAACAAAGCAATGAGTCTATTTCATGGAGTAGAGGACAGAGAAATAGGATTCGGTGGGCAAATACACGGCTTCCAGTGTCTCTTCCAGGGTGAAGAAAGTTATTAAAAATCCTAAGTGAAAGTGAAAGTCGCTCAGTTGTGTCCAACTCTTTGTGACCCCATGGACTCTACAGTCCATGGAATTCTCTAGGCCAGAATACGGGAGTGGGTAGCCTTTCCCTTCTGCAGGGGATCTTCCCAACCCAGGGGTCAAACCCAGGTCTCCCGCATTGCAAGCGGATTCTTTACCAGCTGAGCCACAGGGAAGCTCATTAAGGCAAGTCATATTCCAAATTCTCAGTGGAGGGCAGGTATGACTTGTGCTATCAATCCCAAAGTATACATCTAATCAGAATCAGAAGAATGCCACTTTCTGAGTTTGGAGAATATGCTTCTGTTGTATACTTAAAAACTGCACTCTGACCAAAGGTAGAGTGTGCTTTTACAGGAAATTGAAGACGTTTTTTCATTCTTTTTCACAAACACATTGAGCCGTGAGGCCTAATGACATGAAGTAATGACACTAGAAATGAGAAAAAAGCAAAATAATTAAGACAGTGATACTAGAGCTTTCACCTTCTCTATTTAAATAGGGTCTAATTAAATGGAGAACACTGGTGACACCTACTATTTGTATAAAGTCTCCTGGTTTTACAAAGTATGCTCGCAAAAATCCAATTCAAGGTTTGGGCCAACCCTGTGAAATAGGAGGGGCAGCCTGTCCTTACACTCCATCGTGCGAGAGATGAGATCAGGTGCTGAAAGAGGGTAGCTGACATCCAAAACTGATGAGCAGAGAACGCCGGGGCTGGTGGTAGGATGGAGAGCCTGCAATGCTCAGTTCTGTATTACTCTCCCTAGGAAGAAGTAGCTCTCCTTTGAGAAGCAGCATGAGCTAAATTGGTGCTTTAATCTTTTATTTATAAAAGATTGTCAAAGACCATGCCTATTTGCAAAAGCGGGAGGGGTTGAAGAGGAGAGTGAAAAACACTCTGCTGCCTTTTTTTTTTTTTTTTTAAAGACCAGGCTTATAGTCTCAACTTATTATCAGTTTAATCTGTCAAAAAAAAATGTTCTTTCTTTTTTTATGTCTTTTGAAGAAAGATGAAGAAGCATGAAAGTGAATTGGCCTGTTTATGCCATCATTGCAGTCCATTAGTATTAGTAGAGCCAGAAAATAAACCATCCACTGGCTAATACTGCTGTTAAGATCTACAGCACTTATGTTGTAAAGAAGCTATATAGAGCAAAACATTATAGTTAAAATATAAATGAGTCTTAAAGTTAAGTAAAGAGAATGAGATGAGAAGAGAATCTTTACAGGCCAGATCCAGAAAATGATGCTCAGGCACTTTTTGGAGATAAAGAAATTGTTACAAGAAAAATGAATGCAGAACATGTACAGAAATGGTGATCGGAATCATTCAGAACTACTCACCTTAGAAACTCTGAAAATTGTTTGTCTCATCAGTGGGGTTACAAAGAGAGTATCCCTTCTGTCATAGCAGGTCATCTTATAAAGATCCTTTCCAATAATCAATTCTGAGACTGAGGTCTATATCTAGTGCTTTGGTTGGAGGAGGTAGTTATTCAGTTACTGAGACATGGATTTTAAAATCTCTACCTGTAGTGGTAGAATGATCTTTTGCTTCTTAAAATTCAGTCAATTTTTGCTTTACCTATTTTGAAGTGCTAATATTAAGCACATATACTTTTATCATTGTTATAATTTCCTGATGAATTGTATTCCTCTTTACCTCTGGTAAATCTTCATTTGAAGTTCCGTTTTTTGTTTTTTTTTTCTGACATTAATATAACCAAGTCAGCTTTCTGATGCCTACTTTTCACATGGTATATATCTTTTCTATCCATTTACTTTCAACCTATCTGTGTCTTATAAAGTTCTTCTCTTACAGACCTCATATAGTTAGGTTTTTCTTTTAAAGATTATCTGACAATCTCTTCTTTTTACTTGGAAAGTCTGGACCACTTAAATTTAGTGAAATTGTTAGATGTAACTATACCATCTTGGTTTCCTCATGTTCCTTCTTTTCTTCATTTGCTATTCTTCATTTTATGACTTCTCTAAAATCATTTGATTGTTTTTAGAATTCAATATTAATGCATCTACTGACTTAGTGGTGGCTCTGAGGATTAATTTATAACTAAGTTTTCAAAACCGTTATAGAAAACTTGCTATCCCACTCACCCTCCCATCCTTTACATTATAGTTCACATGTATATTACTTCTACATATGAAATTAAATCTACAGTATAATAGATTTAAAGGAAAACAAGAGGAAAACTATCTTTTGTATTTTCCAAGATGTTTACTATTTCTGATGTTCTTTATTTCTTCTTGAAGATCCAGTTTTCCTTGGAAATCATTTCTTTTTAGCCTGGAAAAACTTCTTTTAACATTTCTTATGATGCAGCAATTCTCTAGCAATGATATCTCTCAGTTTGCTTTTATCTTTATGATATGCTTTTATAAATGAAAATATTTTTAATTCTTTTTTTTTAATCCTTATTTTCAATATTTAATGATGGGAACTCTTTTTATTTTATAAAGGCTCTTCTTATTGTTCTTTTTTTTTCATTTATTTTTATTAGTTGGAGGCTAATTACTTTACAATATTGTAGTGGTTTTTGCCATACATTGACATGAATCAGCCATGGATTTACATGTGTTCCCCATCCCGATCCCCCCTCCCGCCTCCCTCCATCCCAGCCCTCTGGGTCTCCCCAGTGCACCAGCCCTGAACACTTGTCTCATGCATCCAACCTGGGCTGTGATCTGTTTCACCCTTGATAGTATACTTGTTTCAGTGCTCTTCTCTCAGAACATCCCACCCTCGCCTTCTCCCACAGAGTCTAAAAGTCTGTTCTGTACATTTGTGTCTCTTTTTCTGTTTTGCATATAGGGTTATCGTTACCATCTTTTTAAATTCCATATATATGCATTAGTATACTGTATTGATCTTTCTCTTTCTTGCTTACTTCACTCTGTATAATGGGCTCCAGTTTCATCCATCTCATTAGAACTGATTCAAATGAATTCTTTTTAATGGTTGAGTAATATTCCATTGTGTATTTGTACTATAGCTTCCTTATCCATTCATCTGCTGATTCTTAAAGGATTTTTTTTCTAGGTATAAAATTCTGAGTAAATGACTTTTTTTTTCTTTTATTATTTTGAAGATTTGGGCCATGGCCTTCTGGTCTCTATAATTTCTGATGAGAAGTCAGTGATGATTTAAATTATTGCTATCCTGATTATAGTATGCTGTCTTTTACAGGCTGCTTTAATCTGTTTTTAATCTTTGGGTTTTTTTTATCAGTTTGTCTATGATGCATCTAGACTAGAATCAGTGTTCTTTAAGATGTCGATCTCTGAGCTTTAGAAAGTTAAACACTCTTCTAGTCTATGAGTAGTTTTGTTAGAATTTGAATCTGAGGGATGCAATTGTTTCAGTTGTAGTTTCTACACCGTAGTGTGCCCTTTCTTTATGAGTACATCAGCACCCCACCTGAAACTTCTCCTCGATGCCTTCAGTTCCGTGAAGTGGAAGCACAAGCCAAAGCAACTCTGCAGCTGTCTTTCTGAAACATGCAAATTTATGAGCCTGCAAATGGATTCTTTACAAAGACAACACTCTAGTTCCAGTGTGAATTTTATTAGGGTGTATGTGTGTGTTAGTTGATCAGTTGTGTCCAACTCTTTGCAACTCCATGGACTGTAGCCCGCCAGGCTCCTCTGTCCATGGAATTCTCCAGGCAAGAATACTGGAGTGGGTTACCACTCCCTTTTCCAGTGATCATCCCAATCTACGGATCAAACCCAGAGCTCCCTCCTTGCAGGCAGATTTTTTACCATCTGAGCCACTAGGGAAGCCCTTTATTAGAGTAAATTTTTACCACTTCCTAAAACAATGGTGATGAAATGATTCCATCATTTCCTCCAGAAAATATATTTCAGTGACTGGAATATTTCCATTCAAAGCCAGCCATAATCAGAGTATTTTATTTTCATTTAATCTAATGTACAGTCTCTTGATGTACTGCTTTAAGTAGAGTTCAGTGTTGAAGATAACTAGTCAAGATGGTTTGATAGAAATGGAAGTTAAATTTAAAAATCTTTTGTTTTGAAGTAGGGAATTAGTGAGGGTTAGCTTGCCTTGAAATCTGGTGAAATGGCCTGAATTTTCATACTCAATATCTTTTTGCATGATTGCCAGAGGATGGGGCAGGTGTGCTCAGTTGCCATACATATATATATATGGTGATGGGAGAAACAAAAGTAATTTTTTAAAAGCTTTTTTAAAAAAAATACATCATATAAAAGTAGTAGCATATGTTCATTACAGGAAAGAAATGGAAAATTAACCACCCATAATCTTCCCACCACACTTCTTTCATTCTCTCTCTCGTTCATTCCCAGATTTGTTCTGACAAAAATCAAGCAGGCTGCACAAGTTTAGGCTCTTTCCTATTATCTTTGTTTTTAGGCTTTGAAACCTGATTTGTTTGTTTTTGCACACCTTTGTTTTTCCATCTCTGGTCCTGCAGTATCCTGTAACATCCTCTTAAACGAGAATTTCAAAGTAGGATGAGTTTCCCAACACTTTTGGAATGTGTTTTTCCAGGTATTATTATTAGCAACACAGATAATGGTCTTTACTTAGAGGAAGTCAGATAATGAAGTGGTT